CCATTTTGTGAAGATGTCAGACACATCCAGGCGCCCATGTGAAGGGGTCGTAATTCTCCTTATCTTGGGAAGCAGATTTGGGATGTAAATCTTTGGGTAGCAGCTGAGTGCACAGTAAAGTCATAGGTTCCATGTGAGTTTATTCTAAAACTTCCATGACATTGCCAGTCTGTATCTAAAGCAAACGTCCTCACAGACTTTTATAAAGAGTGATGTTAGTGCTGTGAACAGAAGAAGCTCCCATCAGTTCACCTTGAGCACCAACATGTTCTCTGTAGCTCTGCTGATGGTGTTTGTTGCTGAATCCTGGGAGTCTGACTGATGCAGTGACACTACTATTACATTTCTCCAAAACAAGTGCTGTAAATACTAAATGCATTCTCCTTACTCTCTGAAACATTCATTTTATTACTCATCAATTTATCAATGACAGATTTCATATTTATACTGTCATCTGTAGTTCAAAAGGCAGTATAGACACTTATTATGATAGGCACATAAAAATAGTTTGGAAACACATTTATTTGTGTTTCCAAACTATTTAACTTGACATGTATTCATGGTCAGACTCTGACAGAATCTGAACCAGTCATTCAAAGGCCTGGAGAATCCCACAGATCTGTACAGGCTCTGGATTCACATTCAGAGACTACCCTATGAACTGGGTCCAACAGGCTCTGTGAAAAAGACTAGAGTGCCTCGCCTTTATAAACACAGGAAGTTCTCATATCTATTACTCCCAGATAATCAAAGGGAGATTCAAATCAACAAAGATGACCCACTTTAATACTACTACTACTAATAATAATAAATCTACACTCTCAGTCAGAGGCTGGTAAACTGAGGATTTTTCTCTTCATTATTGTGGTCGAGAGCCACAGTGACACAAGAGGATAAAATGCTGTCCAAGAACATGGAAAATCTTGCTTTCTGCAGTTTACATCAACATAAATGATTTAATTGCTGTTCAACGTCAACAACATTGTGAAAGAAACACCATCTTTAATGCATTCATCAGCATTAATTCAGCTGTAAAATGTAATCATTGTAATATTTGTTTATTTATAAGGTTATCTTAAATAAGTTCAAAGAATATAATATAAAGATTACACGACTGAAGCACACCAGTGTAGACTGGGCAGAGACAAATGGCTCAAACAATGAACCATCCTGAGTTGAAGGCTGTTTTTCTTATCCTGTCAGCTTACTGGGTTGGTAAGGACATCTGTTTTCTCTTATAATCTGTCAGCATCCATCTGGATGCAAAGCAAACTTCCTCACAGGCTGATATAAAGTCTGATATCATGCAGTCAGTCACAAAAGAAGATGAGAAGCTCCCATCAGATCATATTTAGTACCAACATGTTTTCTGTAGCTCTGCTGCTGGATCCTGTGAGTCTCACTGAACAGAAACACTATGATCACAACACACTGATTCTTAATTGTTACTGTCTGCAATGTTTTCTCCACAGGTGTGAAGTGTGAGCAGCTGACACAACCAGCCTCTGTGATAGTGCATCCAAGTCAGCGTCTGACCCTCACCTGTCAGGTTTCTTATTCTCTTGGCGCCTGGACAGCTTGGATCAGACAGCCTGCAGGGAAAGGACTGGAGTGGATTGGGATGAAATACACTGGGAACTCTCACTTTAAAGATTCACTAAAGAGCAATTTCAGCATTGACTTGGACACTTCAAGCAAGACAGTGACTTTAAACCAACAGAATATGCAGCCTGAAGACACTGCTGTGTATTACTGTGCCAGAGAGTCAAAGTAACACAAACCATCAGCAGACCTGAACAAAAACCTCTCAGTGCATGAACACATTTGTAACATGAAGCCACCAGACGAGGAGACCAATAATGATTTAAGGGTGTATGAAATGGCTTTAAGGAGTCGCTATTCTTGATAGAGAGAGTGGTAGACAGAAATATTAGAAAACAGCAGAAAGCAGCTGAATCTGCAGACGACATCAGAGGATTCTGCTGTTTATTGTTGTCCTCAAGAGTCACAGTGACACTGTGATACTAAATCAAGAGAAGGGTTTGCTTTGTCTTCAGTATATATTCTTGTTTTTGCTTGTCTTTTGGCAAACACCCATCGTTCGATATTCTGTATGTGGTGTTCTTTTATTTTTTTATTTTTTAATGAACCATTTTTGATATGTCCATCATTCACCATGCTGAGGATTAGTTTTATTGGAGTTTAGTTTTGTTTTATGGAGTTCTGAATGCCTTATAAAATGTTACTGATCTGGTTCCTGTTTTTAAGCAAGAGCTGATGTTGTTGTGAATCCACTTTTTCAGAACTTCCATCAGAATGAGCTTTAACAGTAAAGAGTCATAATATTCCCATGATTAATGACTGTATTACTTTATGGAGCACACATTTAATAATGAATATATATGGAGTTTTTTGCTCATGGTTAATAAATCAATTGGTGACTAAAGTTTGAGAGAAAATTTGTATTTATTAAGTAACAAATAATAATAATAGTTTGTAAATATATATAATATTTGCTTAAATATTTTAATATAAGTCGTGTGCAGTTCTTTATATGAGACAAAGTTTTTCTTTAAGGAGGAGTTTATGCAAATATACATAAATATGCAGATTCTTACGCATGTGTTGCCAAATATAACAAAGGGACTACATGGCAGATTTTCATGACTGTAGACTGAGCAGAGACATGACTATTACAATGAACTGTCCCGAGTTTACCTTTGTTTTTCTTATAGCGTCACTTTACTGGGCTGGTAAGGACAGCACATTTCTTCTGCAAACATTAAGATATGTTTGATATAAAGAAGCTAATTATGTTTTTGTCTGTAGGTACTGAGGGTCAAACGCTGACTCAGTCTGAATCAGTGGTTAAAAGGCCTGGAGAATCGCACAGACTGACCTGTACATACTCAGGATTCAGTGATAATAGACATGCTGCTTGGATCAGACAGGCTGCTGGAAAAGGACCGGAGTGGGTTGCTGTCATCTGGAGTGACAGTAGTGGCAGCTTCTACTCTCAGTCAGTCAGAGGCCGCTTTACCATCTCTAGAGACAACAGCAGAAAGCAGGTGTATCTGCAGATGAACAGCTTGACGACTGAGGATTCATTCCCAAATTAAAGAAAAATACATTTAATTGACTCACACTCAAAACAACAATAAACTTGGTTTTGTATAGTTTTGCAATAAACAGTTTTTTATAGATGTTTAAATGTAAATGTTTTCATCTGCCATGTTGGAATAGAAAGGACTTTTCCAACACTACAAACAAATCCAACACTATATTTGTTTTTTAAATAATATTTCCTTTTATTTGTACTTTTATTTGTACTTCTGTGTGTGTGTGTGTGTATTGGCGGTTTGCAAACAGCAAAATTGTCCATTACCGCCACCAACTGGTGTGTAGTGTTGACAGAAGTATAAAAGAAATACATGAATGAATGAATACATCTCCCACATACAGACATATAACTGCTCATTAGTGCTAAGTGATGGACAATGTACTCAATGTACAACTGAGGCCTAAACTTCTTTGGTGGGCTGTACTACACAGCCAACCACTGTCAATTAATTTAATTAAAAATTCAAGACAGACTGACAGAACAAACACAGATGAGTGGTCCAGTTCAGTGACTCAGTGAGGCCTTGCAGATAGCTGTCAGTCAAACCAGTCTCTTTAAAGAGAATTTTGAACCAGTAGCAAGAAATTTAATATAATCATTTAAAGTAGAAATATTAAACAGTGAGAGTATAATTCTATATACCAAAATAATGTTACGTTTTAGATAACAATTGTCGGTGCCCATATTAAGCAATTAAACCTTAAAAAACAATATTAAACAATTGCTAAACTTTTCTGTTAATGAGCTCAGTGTTTGTTAGTAATCCCTGTGAGCCAAAAGCTCAGGAGCTAATTTTTTTTTATTCTTTAAAAAAAATATTTTTTTTATCAGAGTCCAATAATATAAGTATGCAGCTGGAAATGAAGACAACTGAAGAACTGAAATGACAAGTGGAACCCACTGAACCAAGAACAAGCAAACTGGTTTAATCTTGCATATTCAGATCTATAAATTTATTTACATTCTTTTACAATATGTTTCATTGGCATTTCAGAAAAGGTCCTCAAAATACACGTATGTAATCTGAAAATGTGTTGTGTTCTTTTCTACGTCATATTTGACTGTTATCAAAGAAAGAAAAATTGCATTTTTAAGGAATCTTAAACGGTGACACGTCCATGTCTATGTATTTTATTAGGCAACAATAGTGAAAGAGTTATAAAGTAATATATAAAAAACAAATAAAAAAATAAGATAATGTGGTTCTATTTAATATAATTTTTTTTAATATGTTAAAGAGACATAGCCACATAAAGGCAATCAAAAAAACCGAATAACTGCTTTAACTGGGTTTTCTGTGTTTGATGCAAAATTAATGCTGTCTAAGACACACCCTCAGAAGAGATCCCTGATTTCAAAACTTTCCTTTTCTCTTTGAGTCAACATAGTAAAAATTGTATGGAAGTGTGACCTGAGGAAATAAGTCAATACATATTATTTTTACCGCTTTCAGAAGGTTGGCCTGAATAATTCAAAATGTAATGTGCTAACTTGAATTTTAACTTAAAGGGGAGGATTTGTGTTTGTCTTTGAGGAGGAGGAGCTGATGCAAACTATGATCTCTACCATGTTTGAAGACATGATGCAGAACATAAGACAGTGAATACATGATTAACCACCACTGTACACGGAGCAGAGACAGGTGACCTTGACAATGAATCATCCTGAATTTGTGGTTGTTTTTCTTATCATTTCAATTTACTGGGCTGGTAAGGAAAGTGCAGTCGTTTTACTAACATTGTTATAAAAGTGAAATGATATGCTTGGAAAACAATCACTAATTATTCTTGTTTGTCTGCAGGTACTGAGAGCCAAACACTGACTGAGTCTGAATCTGTGATTAAAAGGCCCGGAGACTCCCACAGACTGACCTGCACATACTCAGGGTTTGGTGGTAATTATGAAACTGCTTGGATCAGACAGGCTGCTGGAAAAGGACTGGAATGGATTGCTTACATCAGTGGTGGCAGCAGCTATATCCACTATTCTCAGTCATTCAGAGGCAGATTTACCATCTCCAGAGACAACAGCAGAAAGCAAGTGTATCTACAGATGAACAGTTTGACGAGTGAGGATTCAGCTGTTTATTATTGTGCTCGAGAGCCACAGTGACTCAAGAGGGCGAAACACTGTACAAAAACTCAGCACATCAAATCAAGTCAGAATTTGATTTTAGCTTTTTCGAAATGAACTGCAGTGACGGGAACATGTATGAAATG